CCGCCGGCCCCGCCGAGCCCGCGCCACCCCCCGGGGTGCCCCCGCGGAGCCCGAGCGCCCCCGGAGCCGCGCCCACCCCCGGACAGAACAACCTCAACCGGCCGGGGCCCCAGCGCGCCACCAGCCTGAGCACACGCGCCACCATCCCGCCTGGGTAAGACGGGGCCCAGAGGGAGGGGTCCTCTGTGTCACCCGCAGGCAAGGACCAAGCCCAGGGGTGGCTGCCCACTAGGCCCAGGAGCAAAGAATTACACTAATGATAAGTAATACTGGGCATCTATTAAGTATTCACTTTGTGCCAAACATTAAACACCTTAACATGTTCCCACTCATTTATCTCAATGCACAAGGACCCTATGAGGTAGGTACCATCATCATCCCCAATTTACAGGAAATGGAAGCAAGAGGAGGGTAAATGACTCCCCCAAGGTCACACAATTCACAGAGATAGGGCCATACCAACAATAACGGTGTATACTCCATGTTCATTATTTGCTAAGCTCTGTATCTGCATCACCCATATTACAGATGGAAAGGCTGAGCCTGGGAGAGGTACGGTACCTTCCACCGGTCATCCGGGAAGAGCAGAAATTGGAGCCCAGATCTGTGAGCTTCCCAGTCTGTGCTGTGCTCTCTAAGAATTTGCAGAAGGCTTCAAAGTCATCTGCCCTTGCTCCATGCCTCACGGTGGCTCTAGCAAGCATGAGCTGCTTGTCCGAAATACTTCCCCTATAGGCCGCACCTGAGATATCACCATTACTTCGGGTTAATACTGCAGTTTTCAAACCGGGCTCCAGGGACTCCTGGGGTGACCTGGAATAGTGGCAGGGACAGGGAGGGGGGTGGATAAGAAGTCAGGCAAACAAGAGCCAGTCTCTCCTCTCTTGTTTTAATCACAGCAGCCGTTTTTGGAACCTCTTTTATGAACTGGCTTTGCAAGCAGGATTTCATGGAGGAAGAGAACCCAGGACATACCAAGTTTAGAAATTCCTGAATTAAGGTATCCCTGGCACCAGGATAGGGGTCCCAGACGCAGTCGGTCTGAGCAGAAGACCAGGCCCTGAGGAAGTGGTGGTGAGAGGGGAGAACAAAGACTATGAGCTTGGGACAGACCAGAAGAGAAAAGACCTGGTGGGATGTGGGTTGTGGTCCCCAAAAGGTGGAGGGATGGGGCACCAAAGGCTAGCTCTGCTTGTATCACCATGGCATGGCTCAGGGGATTGACAATGATGACCTGAGATGTGACCTTTTGGGCCACCCCTTCATCCAGGGCAGCCATAGACCCTGAACGAGGCTGCCCTATTTGCCTTCTGTCCCTTTGAGAGTCTGGCTTCCTGGGTTCAGACCCCTCTTGGCCAATTCTGAGTTGTGAGATTAGGAGCGAGGTCTTCCCCTTCACTGAGCCTCAGTTTCATCATCTGTCAGGTGTGTGCATGGTTCTCACTGTGGGGAGACGATGTATGCCTGGACAAATCGTCTTCACATGGCAATAGTTCAGCAGTGGCCCTTAGGACGACTTTTGTTATTCAGGAGCAGGGTTGGTATGGGGGGCGGGGGAGCTGTAATTTTCCAGGGAGGGGCCACAGCTGCCACCTACCTGCCTGCCTCACCCTTCCCTTTCCCTTCCCCTCCTGGTCACAGGGAGGAGGTGTGCCTGTGTGACCCCAACCTCGGGCAGGCCCAGTGCCAACAGAGAGGAGATCTGAGGGGGTCAGGGAAGGCCTCTTGGGAAGCATTGCCCAAAACTGCAGGAGGGACTCCCTGGTGACTTCAGGGGGCTAAAGTATCAGTTATGACTCCTTGTAGACAGTAGCCTGGCTCTGGCTGCCTTATGAAAGGAGGGGATGGAGGCCCCAGAATGACGAGAAGACAGTAAGAGTGGGACAACAGCTGGAGTGGGTGTGGGGGAGGGCAGAACCAGGAAAGTTCCTGGGACCTCTGCGGCAAGCGTTTGAGAACTTTCTTTCTGGAGCAGTATTGTAACCCACCAGTGGATTAGGACATCTGGAGGTTGTGACCAGAATTTTCTTGAAATAGAACAGAAAGGATAGGGTAGAATAGAATAGTTTGGCATGTGTCATATATAGTAATGATAAGAATTGTTGCATGAACGTTTTGCATTATTTCGGCATATGTTTAACAGGTTGCCAGGTGAAATGAATTTGTTAGTCACCGATGAACTTTTTGAAAGCCACTGTCCTAGGGCAGACTGGGAATTACTCAGCTTTTCTTACCCGGTGTTAATTCTCAAAATATATACTGTGGGTGTGTAATCACAGAGCCGAACAGGACGAACAAGATCCGTGTCCTCATGGAGCACAGACTGGCGGGGAGAAAGACATATAGCAAATGAGGGAGTAAATGGACATGATTTCTGGAGAAAGAAGGAGGTGCTGGGGAGGTGGTGGGACAGGATGGCAGAGGGAACGGCACGTGCAACGTCAAGGGGGCGCGAAGGTCATGTGCAGGGAAGGGCCAGAGGTACCAGGAAGAGGGGGAAGGGCATCCCAGGCAGGACACTGCAGGTGCAAAGGGGTGGAGGTAGCAATGAATCTGGAAGGTTCTGGAGACCACACAGAGATAGAGGCTCTCTCATGGAACAGTGGGGGCTGAGAATTTTTCCACATGGAGGTACAGGGCCAGATTGTGTGGCCATTGGGGAGCCTGGGCTTAGTGCTGCTGGCAGTGGGGAGCTGTAGAGTGTGCTTGAGCTTAAGAGAGCTGTAGGAATAAGGAAGATTTCTCCTTGGGGGTACTGATTATTAAACATGTCCTCCTCTGACCTGCCAGAGTTCTGTTCTCCCCATTCTCGTGCTCCTCCCCCACAGTCTACATCACTCCTCCTGCCCCTCCTGTTGGGAGCTGTTTCTGACTGTCCCAGAGCCCAGACATTGCCTGGAAATCAGGAGATGGCGGGAAGGGCACTGACAAGGGCTCCCTCATCCCTCCTCATCCATGCAGACCCTACCTGGGTCTCACCCCAACCCCTCTAACAGACTCTCCCCAGCCAGACAAGCCTGTGTCAAGACCCCCTAACCCTCATCTCTAAGGAACCCCAGCTAAAAGTGCTCCTGGCTCAGCATGGGGGGTCAGGGAGTGGGAGAAAGAAGGATGGGGTGGCAGACCCGGTTCCTCCAGGCTGAAGCTTCCCGTTGCCAAGGCAACTGAGGCCCAGGTGCAGCCTATGAGAGAAAAGCGATGGGGGTCTCTGAGATATCAGGCAGCCAGGCCTCCCCACCCCTGCCCTGGTCCCCAACCCCCCTCATGGCCCTTCCCGGTCTCTCTGTGTCTGTGTTTTTACGTCTGTATGATCTGCTTGGGCTGCTGTGAGTACCACAGAAAATGGCTTAAACTACAGAAATGTACCAGGGTACTTCAGAAAGTTCATGGAAAAATAGAATTAAAAGATAAAACGAAGGGCTGGCCGGTTAGTTCAGTTGGTAAGAGCACATGAACTTTCTGAAATACCTGTGTATTCTCATGGTTCTGGAGACTAGAATTTCGAGATCAAAGTGCCGACGGAGTTGGTTCCTTTGAGGCCTCTCTCCTGGACCTGCGGGCGGCCGTCTTCTCCCTGTCTTCATGTGTCATCCCTCTGTACCTGTCTGTGCCCAAATTTCCTCTTCTTATAAAGACACCAGTCCTACGGGATGAGGGCCTACCCTAATGACCTAATTTTAATGTAATTATCTCTTTAAAGATCCTGTCTCAAAATTCAGTCACATTCTGAGGTACTGGGGGTTAGGACTTCAAGACATGAATTCTGAGGGGACACAATTCAGCCCACAACAATGTCTCTATGTATCTCTCCTTTATCTCTCTCTGTGTCTTGGTCTCTCTTTTAGTCTTTCTACATCTCTTTGTGGCTGTCTCTCTGCCTCTGTCTCCTCTCTCACCTTTCTCTTTTCCTCTCAGCCATGTTCATCTCTCTCTGTGTCTTGGTCTCTCTTTTAGTCTTTCTACATCTCTCTGTGGCTGTCTCTCTGCCTCTGTCTCCTCTCTCACCTTTCTCTTTTCCTCTCAGCCATGTTCTCTCCCTTTCCCTGCTCCCTTCTCTCAACCCTTCCCCTCTCCCCTGCTGATCCTTTCCCGGTTGAGTGACCTTGGGCACATGGCTTCACCTCTCTAGCCTCAGTTTTCCCATCTGCCAAACAGAGCTAAAGCCACCACCTCAGACAAATGCAGCCTCAGCAGGGCTGATGGTCGTGCAAATGCGTTAAAAATTATCACGTGTGATCAGCATGAGGGAAGTGTGAACTCATCAGAGCTCTGACCTCATTCTGCCCACCTCCATTCTTACCTCAGCCCTGGCTGGGGAATGGGAAGGAGGCCCAGAGAGGGGGATTGACTTGTCCAGAGTCACACAACCAGTGGGGGCAGAGCATCTACCTGCAGGGGATTTTTTTCCACTTGCCCCTGTGACAGGGTGGGGAGCCAGCTGGCAGCCTGGGCCTGGGGGTCACACAGAGGTGGGGAAGATTTACCTTGTCTCCTGAGAAGTCAGTGTCCAGCACTTTGGAACACAGCTATGGGGCAGAGGAACCAGACTCAGAGTTTCCACCCCACGTGGTGGGTGGGGGTAGAAAGACAGCTGTGGGCCTGTTTCCATTTATTGAGCACTCACTATGTCCCAAGCTCCATTTCATGGCTTCTACATTTATCATCTCTCTTAATTCTATGGAAACCCAAGGTGGAAGGTCCTATTATCCCCATTTTTTAAGTGAGGAAACTGAGGCTCCAAAAGGCTAAGGTGCTTGCTTAAGGTCACAAAATTAAGACTTTCATTCAAAAACCCAAATTAGCCAGGGGGTTGGGGGTGCCCCACCCCCAGCCTGCTCATGTTTCAGATCATGGTCCCAGAGACCCCAGCCTGATTCCTGTGTGACCCCAGCTGGGCTGGTCACACTCTCTGGTCTTTGCACCTGTGAAATGGGATTGGCAACATAGACCATTGTTCACCATGAGGCCAGATGTCAAAGTGGCTGCATTTTTAAGTCCTCACACATTTAAAGCCACCTCTGTTCCCTCTTGTCCCTATCAGACTTGTACAACATTGCCAACCTAATTGCTGCTAAAAAAGATGTTATTTAAGTTTTCATACCTTTGGTTCGTAGTTGAGCCTGAGAACTTTTTCCTGTTTACTGGCCATGAGTG